CGCACGTCGTCTCGGCGTCAGCGCGCCAGGACGCGGCCGCGCGGACGGCGGGCCGCGCGTACCGCTCCGCGTCCATGCGCTTCCTCGACGTCGAGACGGCGCCGTCGCCGAAGACCGTCTTCGTGGAGCCGGCGCCCGGAGACCGCGGCGCCGCGTACCTCGCGGAGCCGGAGCCGGAGGCCAAGTCCGTGACCTTCGAGGACCCGGCGCCGGCGCCCGTCGTCGCCGTCGCCGCGGCGGCCTTCGCGCCGCCGGCGAACCCGCGGAGCTGGCAGGGCCGTATCGTTGTGGCCGAACATCAACAGCACGTTTTACTCCTTCTTCCCACTCTACTACTGAGATATTTTTGGGATCAACTTCGAGGCCTGGAGTAGTCTCTGAGAACATCTTGTGTGGTTTCCCGCGTATCACTTTCAGTTTCGTGTTCCATCCGCCCTCTCTGTTTCTGAGGTTGATGTAATCGCCATGCTTTGGATGCCTATAGCCAGCAGGGACTGATTCCGGTTGCGGAGACCCAGGAGAAAAGATGGTCTCAGTAGATTCTGGAGACTTTGGAGTCTCAACAAAGGGGGACTCCGAGTTCCTGATCCGATAAAAGTTAAACATGCGAGTTAATCTCTTTTCAGCAGACTCGAGGAAGTCGGACCCAGATGGTGGCGACATTCTCTGTGATTCTGATATCTCTTCTGTCACAGGAGTAGAGAAAGGAGTGTGTCTAATTCTCGGAGGAGTCACGTCCTGGAACGTTAACTTCTTTTGGAAGGGACGATGTTGACTGGGACTCCCAATTGGGTGAGAAGGAGGACTCTCGCGAGTTGGTGGAGGTTCAGGTTCCTGAACAGGATTGGTAGGGGCTGATGCCGAAGTTTCATGACTGTCGACAATCTGGGTGCGAGCAAGGGGTTGAGATGTCTTCCTAGGGTCTGATCGAGTGGTGTCTACCCCTTCTCCCTGAGAGGTCTGAATGAGTGATTTACTAAATAGCTTGTTCTGCGCATTTAGTGTCCTTGGGTGAAAGTTTTTAGATATTACCGGTTTTCCATTCACTTGAAGCATAATTACTGATGTAGACGTACTCTTGAGATTTTTAGCATATAGGGGATGATAATTCGCTGGGTAAAGGTAGTAGCCGGGGATGCCTCGGAGCTTTGCCTTGTTGATGCCAATCTTCTCAACTGTCTGAAGCTTCGACTTGTCATTTACAAAGAAAACGGGCTCTCCAAACGGCAGTATTCTCAGGTCT